TAAAATTATAAAAAAAAAAAAAAATAATTGAAATAAAAAACAATTTTCGGGGTTGGCGTTTTTTTTTTTTCTTCCTCTCCCCCCCCCCCCCCCCCCCCCCCCCCCACCTCTTCAAAGATATACCAGTTTTCAGTAAACCAAAAGCTTCATCATCTAGTACAATTTGAGCCGGGGAAAGGTTGCCCATGTGGCCAAAAATAAAAGCTCTCTATCAACAATCGCATCAGTGACGAGATGTCGATAATTGGAATTGGACAACAGCGTGACATTTCTGGTTCATTGGGTTCAATTTTATTCAATTCTTGCAATCACCTTGAGCAGTTTTTTAAGCAAGATGAACAGTTTCGGACTGGGGAACAGATCGATCTTGGGATTAGTATGCTACTTTAACGGTTGATGATACATGCTATCGGAATACGATCGTCTCCAACCAATGCTCGGGACAATCATGAACTACGCGGAACGTCTCTGAAATCGACGGGAACAAACGTAACATCATTGTGCACAAGGTCCAACATCAAGCTAGGCGTTCTCAAAAAAGGAGAGCCGACCAACTGAAAAGTAAGTTCCTCGCCCCGCCGAAAAACTTTTTCACACGCATCATAATATAAGACGCAATAGATCTCTTTTTCGCAATTTTTTTTTAATATCCGTTTCCGTAGCCTCCCCCCCGTTCACCTGCCTTGTATTGACTAACAAAATAAGTTACATGTCATGCTATCGGAAAACAATGGTTAAATAAACTCATTGTATATCATTTAAAACGTCTTGTTAGCAAGTGTATTTTGTTAAACCGCTTTGGTCATATGATGGGTCCTTCATGTGTGAGAACATAATAAAGCCCTTGTTCATTATTTCATGATCTTTGCTGTCCTTGATCTTTACCCAACCCTCCTCCAAATCGAGTAATAATTTCAAGGTTTTAGAGCCGGACAGAGTTTTTGAAAATATACCATAAGCGGAAGGTTGCCGAATTTTGCAATAACGTTTCGAAATATTCGTTTGTGCGATGACGTGCGCAAACTGAGACTCGCACTAAACCATTATCATCGCTCTTAGTATGCACAAACAGCCAATAAAATTGTTCGTCCGACCCATGTAATTTAGGAAAACTGTTGACAAACTAAAATTTTTTTCTACAATAAGCGTCACGTGATAAACTGTGACTTTTTTTCTTCTGATGGGCGTAAAAAAAATCTCGAGGGATATGGATCAGATAATGTAATTTTCACTGATCGTGCAGATACTTTTACGGATATTATTTCTAAAACAATCACATTGTACCACCCTTCCGACCCTTGTGTCTTTGTTGATGAACTGCTCAGCCCATGTGAATTAACATTACTTCCACGATAGCTACGGTCATGATTTACCAAACGGTTTCCAGCAATGCATGCAGATTTTGAGATATATCGTGATGAGAACATTAGCAAACATGAGAGAAAAACTTTTGATAACCTTTAGGGTGAATAATCGCATGGACGGTACGACGACCGGTTCTTTGTCTCATTGTTTCAATGCACACACCCCCACCTCCCGAGAATGCAAATATGGATCGAAGAATAACGAAGAGGAAGAAAAAAAAAAAGTACGTCGAATGCAATTGGGCGTGATACCATAAAATTGAATTTTTTCTATTTCGATTAATATTTTAGGTATTAAACAATATTAAACCCATGCGGGTGGCGTTAGTTTACACGTATTACATGTTATCAAACAAAAAAGGGGGGAGAGTGAGTGGAGTAAGCTCGCGAATGTTATTAGTTTGGTCAGCACGTTCATAATGACATCGTTCTTATTAATTCATATCGTAAGCTTGCATACATCGACTTTGCATCACAAACTGTTTGTTTTAAATGATATTGATCGACGAATGTCTTACTTTCCGTGGACAAATCGTGATCATCCGTGATTTATAATTGAACGGAAAGCTGCAGGTTCAACACTCGAGGAAAGGAGATTAATAATAAAAAGCATCACTGCAAATAGATTTCTTTTGAACATATGTGATTTTTTTTTTAAAATTATTGAAACTGAAACTATCCAAGTCTGGGCAAAGGTGGCCTGTCAGTTACCCGATGACACATTCTTGTTTATCATAGTGCGTTATGCTTGTCTTCTTTGCGTTAATACCTTTTGTTTCATGGGAAAATCGCACAGTCCTCTTTGTGCCCCATATAATACCCATTTTTTCAAAATTCCCATCTTTTTTATTTTTTTCCCTTCCTACTTCCTTTCCCATTTCTGAAAATGGTTGAATCTATAGAAATCCGACATGAAGACAAGACCTTGCCAGGCGACTTTTACTCACCCACAAAGAGAAATGCCGGCATAGTCATATTCGTTCATGGATCAGGATCATCGAGATTCAGTCCAAGGTTTGTAGAATATAATAGCGAGTTGAATGACACGTGCATAACGGGTTGGAGTGGTTTTTTTTTTTGGAGTGAGAAAAAAATTTTTTTTTCTCTTTCCCTTCGAGGCGGGGTTGCATGTTTCTAATTTCATTGGTTGGCAATGTTCATTTAACCTTTGCTTGGAAAATGTAAAAGTATAAACATGGTTTGATTTGTCCGTTTTGCTCGATCACCCCATTCTTTGAGGGATTGGCAGAGTTGCCACAATGCATTTGTGTTAGGTTATTAATTTTTAATATGTTCGATTCATTCATTATTCTGTTTTTTTCTACTATTTTTTTTTCTTTGCGTGCAAGAACAATATAGAATACTTGTTTGTCGACAAGAATGTTGGGAGGAAAAATTTTCAAGTCACACAAACTGATAGCGATTGGGGGGTCTGAGCACTAGCAGAAGACAATTAATGTTTCTAATTCAACGACTGATAATACTATTATAGAATTGAGCTTGTATATTTAATTAATGAAATGTGTGTTTATATATATTTTGTATTCAGGTCGAAGAACAAAGAACTTTTTTTTTTTTTTTCGGTTGACAAGTGGGGGAAAGGAGAGAGATGTCAAACAATGCCTTTTACTTTTATTTTTTTTTTACAAACGTCAAACCGTTGAATATAATCGGCTGACCCTAATTGTCTGCATTCTTTCCCCCAACCCCAAAATCTTGCATCATGTCTTATACATTCTAATATTCTAAACGTTCTTATGCGGTTAAATCAGAAACCAGTAAGTTGTTTTTACATTTGCCACAGAACAATTCGATCATGTTCCGCCATTCTGTTGCTTCGTTACACCACTCTTGCTGTCAATATTTACCTTGTTGACAATGTTGTTGTTGTCCTCCCTCCCTCCCTCCCTCCCCCCCATCAGATTTGTGGCGGAAGTCTTGCGGTCTCGGGGAGTCGGTATGTTTTTACTCGATCTGCTGACACCTCAAGAAGAGGCCATCGATGAAAGTACCAGACATCTCAGGTTTGATATTGGTATGCGATGAAAAAAGAAGGGCCGGGCGCAGTGGTAAATGTGAAAACGGTTGGGGAGAGGGAGAAATGGGATGGATGGAGGCGTATATTTCGATATACCGTTTATATTGTTACAAAACCATACATGTATGTCGATGTGTGTGTATACTGATCGGGCGGATCTACGATTTTTACTTGTTTTCATACAATGCATATTGACATTCTATTGTTTTCGACTCTACGGAAAAGTCTGGTAACAAACCTTGTGTAGGACGTCAGATAAAATTAAGCATTGGGGTATCAGATATTATGTATACTTTGTAAGACAGCAGTCTGGCTATTACTTGTTCAGATGTCATTGGATGAATTCAAAGTGTACATACGATAAAGAAATTACGGAAGCACAGCTATACAATCAAATGAAACGCTCTTTTTTATTAGTACCGTACCGGTCATTACATATTCATTGTCCCCTCTTTTTTTTTTTTTCTACAGAAATGTTGTCGCAGAGAGTAGCTTCTGCTATCGACTATTTCGCTCAAGACAATAGGACGCAAGGTCTTCCGATTGGGCTATTTGGGGTTAGTTTGAGTTTGAGCTGGGGGGTGTGATGTGCTTTATGTGTGTTGTGTTCTGTGTTGGGTTGTGCTGGGTTGTGTGCTGGGTTGTGTGTTGGGTTGTGTGTAGTGTGCTGTGCGCTGTGTTATGTTATTATGTTATATGCGTTATGTTGTTATTGAGTACTGTTATTTTATGTATGCTGTATATGCTTTCGTTTTACGCCATTGTTCGTAGGAAAACTATCACTTTATGTACACTAGACCATTTTCGAATGTGTAATGACATTATTTATACATATGATAGTCTAAAAATGTTGTTATCTTTTATTTGTATAACCGTGATGAGAATGAGAATCTTTTTAAAAAAGTATTATATTATATTGCAGGCATCTACCGGAGGCGGAGGTATAGTAAAAAGTATTATTACCTAACCGTACATCTAATGCAGTGTCATTGTATATAATACCAAACTGGTGTATAGTATTAAACTTTTTCTGCATTTTAATGTACAAATCTTTTACTAATACGTTCTTTCTCCACTACGTAATAGCTGCATTACTTACAGCGTCTCTCCGTCCAAACCAAACGGCTACAGTTGTTTCCCGCGGCGGTCGTCCTGATCTCGTTCCCGTACCGGTCCTCCAGTCGATTAGCACACCGACCCTTTTCGTCGTGGGCAGCAAAGATACAGTTGTGCTGGAATTGAATAATCAGGCATTGAATGCACTGGGAAGCAAAGAAAAAAGGTTACAAATGGTTGAGGGAGCAACGCATTTATTTGAAGAAAAGGGTACAGTATATGTTGGGTTGTTTAGGTTGGGTTGTTTATGTTGGGTTGTTTATGTTGGGTTGTTTAGGTTCGGTTGAGAGTTGTCTATTTTTTGTTTGTGGGATATGCAGAATTCGGTGAATGAATGTTCTATAAATGTGGCTGTGATATGGTGAGAAGAAATCTAGCTTTTTTTTTTTAACCTCCCTTCATGTCTGTATATGTACGATTTTTGTGGGGGAGGGACGGGGGAGTGGGGAATGAAAAGAAAGTAATTGATGACCAACGAACTGACGCGTGCTGAGAAAAATGAGGGAAAATTTTTTGTTTTTATATGTGCTATGTTTGTTTGTTTCTCTCCTTTAGCCCGTACTCTTGTAAGAAGTAGAAGTTGTAATAACGATGATTATGCAATGGCAGATCGTAATAATGGCAACGATGGTAGTACTGATGGTTACAAATCAATTTCGTAGGGAAAGGATGTTCATCTGTTGTGGGGTAATACACTGACAGCGGGAGGAGAAGGAAAAAAAAAAGATAACATCCAGATAACAAATATCTAATTAAGAAGTATCGTCCAAGGGGGGATGACAGGATGTACAGCTCAACTATTATTTGACGCAGTTACCACTCCACTCGGTTCGCCCATTCGGTTGCCAATCTATTCTCGCACAATCCCTCCCTCATTCCCCCCAAATATCGTCATTCACCGGTTGTGTCATGCATTGGGCGGCAGATTGTGTTTTGGTGTGGGGATAAATACAGGATTAGGTTATGCTGTAGTATTACATGACATCTAAACTATCTATCGTCTCTCGGTTGGATATGTTTGTCGTATCTTTTGATTGATTAAGCATGTTCATTAATAAGACTTTTTCTCCCCCCCCCCTTTCACCTCTCCTGCCCTATCCTACCCTACTCCCCCCCCCTTATTCAGGATGTTTGGAAAAAGTGGCAGAGATTACTGCAGATTGGATGGAGAAATATCTGGTTAGAAAAGAAGATTTGTGAAAAGGGTCAAAGGCAAGTATCGAAATAAGCTAGCTTTTTTTTTCTCGACTCTCCGAATACAAGAGTGTTTATTTTATACGCATTGTCGATGCGGACAATTTTTTCAATGCACTAAATGGAGACTTATTTATTATATGATATGATATCTAGTTGCATATGTAGTGATTATCTAATGCGCAATGACTCATTGAATTGTCCATCTTTATCTACTTGATTTATTGAACAATCTGGTTTCACTATTGACATAATCGAGTTTAGAGCAGAAGGTTTGATGGGGGGTGAGGAGGGGAGGGGATAGGATGGGATGGGAGGGGATGGGAGGGGTGGGGGGGTAACGTCTCCGAATGTATCGAAAATTTGACAATGAATGCAACTAAACGTATATGTGATGAATGAATGAACGATTTTGGGGGAGGACAAGGTGATTACAAAAAGTGATATATGACAGAAAGTGATACATACAGTTTGAGTGATATATGCAGGACTGGATAGGGATAATAATTTTGTCGACTGTAAAAAAAGAAAATCCGTTATACGGTAAAAGCCGTACCTGCAAATCACAAGCTACATATCGCATCATACTATACACCCCGTCTTCCATCTCTCCCCTCTCCATTCTTCCTCCTTCCAAGCAAAAAAAAAAAAAAGTTCACCCTTGCTATTATCCATTATCTGCTGCTTCACAGTAGTACAATAAGGGTTCATCCGACTAGCAGGAAAATTGAAGGGCGTATTTTGTGAACTAGTATCCTTTCGGCGTTGTGTGTACGTGTATGCTAAATAAAGTAACTTTGAGGCGGTGACTGTTTATATGTGGCTTAATATAATTGTGATAAGTGGGTATGTATTGTATGTATCGTATGTATCGTACGTATTGTATGTATTGTATGTATTGTATGTATTGTATGTATTGTATGTAGGTAGGTAGGTTATCGTCATGTAGGTATGATAAGTGATTTATGAGGAGGAAAAAAAAGCGGTAGGTTTTTTGTTTGGGTGTGTGACTGTGATAAGAGAGTAAATATAATTTTATACTATTTATCATCGGTTTGTGAATAATCTCATCTCATCTGTGACAGATTGACTCTCACACTCTATTCTTTTTCCCTTTCAACAATCAAGAGACGGCCAAGTAAGTGCATGCAGGCGTCGATGCTACATATCGCATTTAGTCAAATTGGTATGTTATATAGTACTAATACTGTATATATGAAATGAATAGAGAAGCAGATAAGAAAAAGACTCCTTGAAACATAAACAGGGCTGAGAGAGAATGTAAAGTGATGAGATATCTATAACGATTTCAAATATACATGTGTGCAATCTTTTATAACATTTTGGTTTAATCGTATAAGCAAGCTGTCAAAAAATTGTTTGTTTTTTTTTAAGATTTAATCCGGAGACAATCGATCTCTAGACAATCCTGAGAAATTCCCAAGCTGTACGATGATAGTCATCCATTCATCATCCTCTTATTTTCCTTCTGCATTCGATATTACAAAGATTCTTTGACGTGTGTGGTGTGACGACATACGCGTAGGAACTTTTTAATTTTGGGGGATTCACTTTTTTTTTTTTGTATAGAGAAAGAGAGAGAGAGAGAGATGGAGAGAGAATCGGAAGAATACACACATGTGTACCTGTGTATTGCCGTATATGTGTGTATGTGTGTATGTGTGTATGTGTGTATGTGTGTGTGTGTGTGTCATTCAAGAGATGCGATACGATATACCATCTATATACGTAAACTGTTTCATACATTCATTATTTATATGTATCAAACATTGAGTCATATTTCTTTTGGGTTTGATCCTGTCAGTTTGTTTGTTTATTTCTTACACAAATCTCTCTATTTGGATACGATTCTAGTGCGCCTCATACTTTTCCCTCTGCTTCTCCTCTGTCTCCCCTCGCACCTCTGCTGTAAATGGAGAGAGAGAAAGGAAATAATTAGAATGGACTTTCAGGTTTCAAACATGCGGATTTCCGTTTAATCCGTGTATGTATTTTTTACAGTTTTTTTTTTGTTTCAGAATATACTTTATATTAAATGCCCGCGTTATAATAAAAGTTGTTGCTGTTGTTGTTGCTGCTGTTGTTGTTACTGCTGTTGCTGTTGTTGCTGTAATACATACATATATTTACAAAGTTTTGACGGCTGATTGCAGGGGGGGCATGCGGTTGACGTAATTATATCAGATAACTGGGAAGTGCTGTGATACACAAGCTAATGTGGAGAAAATTAATGTTGGGCGATAAAGATGTTATTTAATAATTTACACATGTCAGTATAAATTGTCTCTTTTTTTTTTTTACTTGCATCTGATATGAAATGTTATATACTTTGTAATGAAACGAGTTATGAGCAAAATCTTGCAATGATTATTATAGCTATAATTTGCAGTAACTAATAATACTAACCCCAAACACATACCAACATTTCTAGTCATGAGATCAGAGCATAACATCATCGTTATATAAATAGTTATTTATTCGGTCATTATCCTTTTTTCTTCCTTTTTTTTAAACAAGAATAGAAGCACACTGTATTAAATGCTTTTTTTTTTACTTTGATTCTATGGAAATGGCTTAGTGTAACTCGCCTTGTAACTCGCCTATTCATAATAAGAGTTTAGAATAAACATGTCCAACATAAATTGTATTTCATTAATGTAATTAATTCATTGATTGTCATCTACAAATACAAATATTAGTATTGCCGAAGCACCAAACCACACCCAATATACACAAATATAATAAACATCCACTAAAGTACACACCTATTTCTTTCCGCACCCCCTGTTGGCTAATCCCCCCTCCCCATAACGCACCCCCCCCCCTCCCTGTAAAGAATTTTTCTTATATACTTGTCATCCCTATTAACCAACTTTTTCCAACTCCGACCTTTTCTCTGTCTTGGGAAACAGAATTTATACAAGAACATAAACAATTAAAAAGGTCGAGGAAACAAAACCCCCACAACCAAAACAGAACGACCCAAAGACTGAACAACTAGTCTGATAACGACAAACAACCACTCTTCACTCGGTCAAACAACGCAAACAAAGAAGAAACTACAACAACAACAACAACAACAAAACAACAACCCCTATTATCTCTACTTAATACTTATAACGCGTCACTCCGCCAAACGAAAGAAACTATTATATCAACAATCATTCTCCAACTCTTCTAACTCTGTATAAAGAATAATGACTGGAAAGTATGTTATCACAGCTACCTAGCATAGGCTGCGAGAGCGAGATAGACTGCGAGATAGAGAGAGTGCTCATATAAATACTTGCTAGAAAAACAATCTCGATACTAAACCAATGGATAATACACATAAATTTCTCGTCCTTTTTCTTTCTTTACCACCCTCATCTTTTCACTCGACTCACCCCCACTCTTTTGTTTACACAACAGAACCTTTGCAGACATTCACGAAGAACTCGCCTATTACAAAGCACAAACAACAAATCTCCAACTAGAACTAGAAGACACACGGGCTTCGCTAGAAGAGTTTCAACAAACATCACGAGAACTGGAAGAAGACTTGGAAAGAGAACTCGAAACAGTAGAAAAGCGATGCAAAGATCTGAGAGCCAAGAATGAAGCTTTAAAGAACGAAGTTGACGATTGGAAGGTTTGTATGGCGTCCCATGCTCGAGTTTCTCGATCGAATTGCGATTCGATTATAAAACCTGAGTATTAACTGGTCTTTTTTTTTTTTTTTTTAATCATCGCTTTTAGCAAAAATTCTATCAATCAAAACAAGAATCAAATGTTAATCAAACACAAATGCAAAGAGAACTCGACTCTTTACGAGCTTTACGAGATAAATACGCAGAAAAGACAAGGAACCTTGAACTTGAGAATGACGACTTGGAGCGAACAGAAAGGTTATTATCTGCGCCCGTTGATTTCGTGTAAAGAACATGAAGAGGAAGCTAGCGATTGTAGCGATTGTAGCGATTGTACATACATATACGGTGTATACATTTACTCACACTCCCATGTTTTTTCTAATTCAGAGCATCACGAACAACACTACAAGATCTTGAATCAAAATATAACAAAGCAATCGAAAGAGGCGCATTGCTCGAGGAAGAACTTGAAGGCAAAGCACAACTAATCGTGCAAGTTCAGCGACTAAAGGATGATCTCCGAGGTTAGTTTTACGACGAGTCGAACTGTCTGAAAACATTTTGCTTGACAAGTGTGGAGTTTGACTCGTGACATTGGCTAATTTTCTCAATTCTTCCAACATAAAGACGCAAACATAGAACTTGCAGTTCTCAAAAACAAACAAGATGGCGACCTTGGTCCGCCGTCGACACCAGCAGTACAAAGACATTATTCACGACCACCGTCAGCTATGAGTATAGACTCTTCTTCTGGCGTAACAACAGCGAATCCGGTTAGGATGGTACAAGAGATGGTTGGCCGAGTTAAGGTACGCGGGTGATTTGGTGTCTAGTTGTTCGGATTGTCAGAGTCGGATTGCAGTTTACACAAGTCCCATTCTCTATTACAATCGTATTCACCATGTTTTTTCTTTTTTCTTATTCAGTCTCTCGAAGCCCGCCTTGTTTCCTGCCGCTCGCTGGTAACACCTCTTCTAGCACCACCACCTTCATACTCCACGACAGTTCCTTACCCTGCATCTTCACCTTCACCACCACTCATAACTAAGGAAATACTAAGAACTAAATCCGTTCGAAGGGCACGCGGGTAATTCGGTTAAGCATTCTTAGTCTCCAAACACATAATAATAAAACCCCCCCTCCCCTAATTATGCTAAGCTTTTCGTAGCAGTGTCTCCCTACACTTTTATAACATTGCAATATTTTTCTGCAATTCTTAGAGCTGGCATTTCTCTTTGAGTTTATTCTCATTTACCTGAACTATTCCAGTCATATTTCTGTAATGACTTTTTTTCAATAGTTGTTTTCAGTAGAAAGTGCCGCAAAAGGCGATGTCTGGACTTGTAGTAGGATGAGTGAGTGAGAAAAAGATGCATACTCCCCGATGGCACGCTGGGCGGATGCGCAGCATTGTTATTGTGGGAAGCATCGCATCACACATACACACACTATCTCACACGCTATCTCCACACATATTATCTCTCACATACTATCTCACATACTATCTATACACATTATTATTCTCTCCCTTTTCTTCTATTTATGGGGGCACAATCTCCTTAGAAGGGAGGCGATAAGAGACATTACAACTTGTTTCTGGGAGACAACAAAAATTATATATCATTGGTATAGTATTTGTTTAATTATCTTTTTGGGATATTATTACATTATTATAATGCCACTCACAGATAAGGGAAACCATTAGAACATTATTTTCTTTCCGCCTTTTATTTTTTTTGTACAATTTTGAGAATTGTCGATAACCCTTTTTTCTTTTCTTTCTCCTCCAATCCGAAAATGAACTGTCGTCTTTTACTTAAGATGTAAAAAAAAAAAAGTTGTTTAAACTCTAGTATTAGATAATTATGTTTAAAAAAAAATACTTAAGCCTTAATAAAGCTCTTTTTTTTTCAGAGACTTTTTTGATTGGATGATTAATGATTAGTTGAGCATTTGTACGTTCAAGTTAAGTTATGAACGATGAGAGGAATGAGAACTGATATGAACTGCGAGCAAAGTAATGTATGACTTGAGAGAATTGGGCATATCAAAACAATGTGAGGAGAACAAGGAATGAGAGAATTGCACGGGATCTCATTTGCTTGGCTGTGGTCTAACTTTTTCTCGGATCTATAAATCTGATAAGCAGAAAAGGTAAGGTGAATATAAAGGGCACATGACTGTAAACATTCGGTCAAGGCGTAGCTAATAGTGTCACAGACATGACTATTTGCATCGCGAAAAAGGATAATCTTTGTAAAGTTATCTAGACTCGCCCTAACATAAAAGTGAACCACTCACAAATTGGCGGGGACGCGTTGATGTTAGCACTGCTGAACAAGCTCTGTTCAAAAAAAGCATCAAAACGCATTCGAAAACCACGGGTCAAGCACCAACCAATCGATTTAACAATAACTTAGTAGACAATTACGTATGTTAAAACCGATACACCTCGGGGCTTTTACTACAACGAATATCCAAATATATCAAAGCCAAGAGGGCTTTTTTGTATGCGTTACTATTCAGACGCATATTATATATACCAAATATGGACGTCACCCCCTCTTTTTGCCCCCCTCGGGTACAATTTAGGAATTGTTTTTATTATGTATCAGGGGTAACAATCAGTTCGTCGCATATATCATGTTGCACAAATGCTGCTGTAGTTCAAGAACCGTGAATTCTATTTTACTGTTTACCGTTACTTGAAACTATTAATATGGTAATTGCAAAAAGAAAAAGGTCCGTAACGGCACGAAACAACTTTTTTGAAAATAGAATTTCGAATGTTTACACTTGAAATAATTACTGCGTTTTAAATTAATGCATTATTGTTGTCTTTTACATTTTGATTTCATAATCACTTGGATGTCCAGTAACATTCGAGTTTACTCACATAGATTACAAATAAGGTTTTTCCTTTGCAAAAATTTACCAACGAGAAAAGAAGCGTGCAAATAGATTTTTTATATTAATTCCATTATAAACAATAACCAGTTTTTAAAAACTTGCTTTGCGCCAACGCATTCGACTACTCTAATATTGCAAGTACCGGACAAAGGCATCACGCGCGAGGGGGGAGGAGGGATTGTTTCAATAATCGAATGGGTTTTGTCAAATTCTGATAACCAATTCTTATATGCCAAGTATTTGGCTTTTTTGTTTTTGGATCAGCTATGGGAGCTACAAGCGGATTCTCAATAAGGCAAAAAAAAGAAACTATATTATCGATCACCTCGGCTCATCCAAGTCGATCTGATCACACAAATCATTATAATCCCGACCATCTCATGTGATTTTCAATCAGTCTATTTTTACTCTTTGGTAGTAAAATAAAAAGACCGAACCAGGGAACAAAGTCATAAAAAACGAAGAAACGAACTGCAAAAAGCTTTGGGCGATCCGGAAGGATATGCAAAAAGTGTTGTACAAATATAATAAGAACCCATTAGAAAAATGGAAAGCATCAATTTATGTGATTGATTATTAATATTAAATATGCCAACAACTGGATAATATTGCCAAGAAATAATTACGGTAACGTCATATACTATCGAAAAAATGATGTCATTGTTCTGTCCCATAGTCTTTGACTCTGTACTGAATTACCCTCCATTGGTATATTAAATTTGACGTCCTAATCAAATCACCTATTCCATTATAAGGTATAGATATACAAAAGATAAAAAGTTTCCCCCCAATTAACCCTGGCCACACCTTCTTATTGCTTCTCATTCCCTAACATCGTCACTCCTCGCCAACCCTTTCCCCTTCTCGATCTTCTTCACTTTAACACAAAACGACAACACAACGCCGATGCCCATCAATGCCCCAATAACAAGCCACACAGCATACGGTACCGTCGACACGGTCAGAGAATAAAGCGTGTTAAATAATAGCGGCGCGAGTATTCTCATTAACGCTTCCAAAACGCTCGTCGCTCCCAGCACTTCACCCGTCTTGGAATGCGGAACCAAGTTGATCAACAATGACTTTATAGTCGGAAGAAGCATCGCCGATAAACATTGGAATATCCCAATGGCATAAAACCCAAAACCTGTCGGCGTAAGCCCGTAACCCATGTACGATATCGTTTCTATTATGAATCCAAATCTTACCGCCCAAATGTCGAATTTTAGTGCTTTTCGCGCCTGAAGATCCTGATCAGTGAATTCATCGAAAAATCCATCCCCTGGTTCAGGAGCCAACGTATCCTGCGATAAGAAGGTAGCATCTTTTGCTGCAGTTTGCAGAAACGTCTCTTTGGGTGGCGAACTATCTCGTTTGAGCCACCTCATGATAATTGGAAACAAAACCATAAGGACAAACACTCTTGGACCACTCATCAAGAAGATGAAGATTCCTTGTTCCATCACGGTCCATTTAAATGCTAGAGTAGTGTATAGTATCAAAACCGCTTGCATTCCCAGAAATGCTACAAAAGTTAAACAACTCATAATCGCCACGATAAACAAAGTGTGGTTTCCCCTAACCAAATGACTTATCGCGCCTCGGTCTTCCTGTCTCTTCGAACTTGGCTTTTTTTGGGACGAACAGAGTCAATACCTCAAAGATACTCAACACATTTCTTCGTAGCCACGAGTTATGCTCTCGCGCTGTTCTAATTTTTGTTTGCGTTCATGTTCTGCCTTGTTTTTCTGGCGTTAGCGACTCGGGAAGGATGAACAGTACAAAGAGAAAGAACGATATAAATACTGCGACGGCAATGTAGAAGACTGAAATGTATGATCGAGTTGCAGCGACTATCCAACCGGCCGGAACGGGTCCCAAAGAAACGCCGAGGTAGACAACGGCCATCAGCCAGCCAAAGACGATTGACCTGGAAAAATGAATAGGGAATGAAGAGAGGTTATGGGCGGAATCCGATTAGATTATACTAAGGCATTACGTGTAATGAATATGATAGCTTCGCGTATTTCTATCGACTTTATCAATTGACAAGAATCACAATTATATTACCAGATATACCTTCCATCAACGCTCCGAAGAGGAGAAAATAGGGGCCTAATGCTTGCGAAAAAGTCCCAACTAGGATGACATTACAATGGTTGAGGGTCATTCCGGCAGTTGCTATTAAGAGTGCAATGCGCCGGCCTTTGCGATCCGAATATGCGCCCAACGCGCCTAGAACAAAAATTGCTTTGTCGAAGAAGGGAGAAAAAGAAGGTTGGTTAGAAGATTGAAAGTTAAACACTTTAATTGTCGTATGTACACGGATCGATGGGTTATTCCATCCTTGTCTTTGCCAAGCCAATCTAGTTCTGGTCCGGCATTTGCGACGATTCATCATTCCTTCCCGGAAAAAAAAAAAAGAGGACTTACAAAGCACTGCGCCACAGAGACTTATAAATAACAACTAATTCGACGTTATTTTGCTTGTATTTCGGGGATGTTGCATTCGAGATTTGGGACGTCGTCGTCTGACTCTAATGGGGAATAATAAGATAAACTTGATCCTGGTTGATAGAATGTAGGCTGATCCATTGTCGCCGATAGACCTCCTATCCCTATTATGCTTGGTATTATACTATTCTTCATGTCTAATGCCCATTTAGATTTAGTTTTTCAGTTTGTGCCAATCGTCCAAGTCCAAGCGAATTAGCCTCTGAAGCGTAGTAGTACTCACACACTATTTTCACGTATAACTTTACTCTTCAAGCCCCAAGACAGCGCAATCAGAAAACACGCCGGAAGAAGCCAAAAGGGTGAAGCACGGGGTACCATGGCCGAGAAAAAGAAGAAGTAACGTTATCAGAGGATTGAGAGTAAGTAGCATTAGACGAGGTGTCGATTCGTCTGTTGTGATTGCGGGTGTCGTTTCAGTTTGCTGCATTTGAAGTGTGTTGACGTGATGAATTTAGTATGTTTTTTATTGTCATTTACCCGCGTTGTGGTGGCAAGTGTCAATACTAAGAGTATATAGTTAAAAGTATTATATATACACGATTTAAAAAACGAGTCTACTATCAAGATCAGATTTTTGTACCATGGCATGTCAGATGATTTCAACCCCAACAAGTAAGATCTAGATGCGAACAAATTAATTATGTTCTCGATGAAGACGAAATTATTGGCAAAGGTCCTAATGGCACGCTAAACATGGTATTTCGATGGGATTAAGAGATTGAATAAAGGTGAAAAGTACTTAAATATTACTAATAATGCGGGAGGACAGAATAAAAATAACGCCACCATTTGATTTTACCTCTATTTGGTAATTTGCGGTTATTATGAAAGTATTGATGATACCTGGACATACTAAATTCTCCATGGCCATCTATTTCAGCCATGTTTTCACTTATTCCCCCTTCCTCCTCTGTAATATAACATTGAATTTATCCCTTACTATCATACTTAGTACTATTTGTCCTTTTATTACCATA